GGTGGAACGAGCTCCCGGAGGAGATCAGGGCCCTGCGGGACCTCATGCAGTTCCGCAGGGCCTGCAAGATGGAGCTCTTCCGCCAGGCGTTCAACTAGGAGCCGCCCCAGGGAGAAACGCCCTGCCCCCTGTTTAAATCCTAAAGCAGCCTGAGCCAACCGCACAATATTAGATCAGGATCGACCACTAGGAAGGCTGAGCGCCCTCCCAAATGGAATGCTAAACTGTTATCTGTTTAATGGTATCTGGATTATTATTGTTAGCACCTTTTAATGTTGCAATTGCTATATGGCTTTTATGATCTGTATTCTATTTGTTGCTGTTTTTATTTTGTCGTAAGCCGCCCTGAGCTGGAAATGGCTGGGAGGGCGGGGTATAAATTTAACAAATAAATAAATAAATAAATTTCTGCAGTCAGCAAGTCTAATCTGTGTAGGCAGGCAAGGTCTCTTGTTGTATATTCCGAGCAGAGCAAAAGTAAGGCAGCCACACGTGTGTATCTAGTTCAGGGAAACTTTACTAAAGAAAGCAAAGGACACTGGAGGAGAAGATAACAACATCCTGACTCACTAGTTCTAAGCTCCATCTTGTTGGTCTGACTGCGAAACACAGGAGAGAGAAAGTTCCCCCCAATGCCTCCCACTCCCTGCCTTCGAACCAAGCGGCAACGAGCACTCCAGTAAAATTGATCAGCCCAGGGCTATTCCACAGCTCACTTCATCAGGAATATTGTCACCCTCTCTCCGGTGGGAAATACGAGCCTAAGATCTAATTGGTCTTAAGCTAATTAGCTTAACATTAGCATGCATAAACAAACAGGTTAACTCTTTCGTGACTGAAGGAAGTGAATCTGAAATACTCCAACACCCCTACACTTTTACCATTAGGATTTATCGGATTTGAATGCAGCTTCCAAGGAACACACACACACACACAAAGCTGGCTTCTACTGCGTCAGACACACCCCACCTGGGTCCATCAAAGTCAGTATTGCAGAAGCCCTCCAGGGTCTCAGGTAGAGAAAGATCTTTCCCATCGCCAGCTGCCTGGTCCTTTTAGCAGGAGATGCTTCTGGGGACTGAACCTGGGACCTTCTGCGTGCCAAGCAGAGGCTCTGCCACTGAGCCACAGCCCCTCTTTACAGCTCTCCAGGGTCTCAGGCGGAGGTCTTTCCCATCACCTCCTGCCTGGTCCTTTGAACTGGAGATGCCGGGGATTGAACCTGGGACCTCCTGCGTGCCAAGCAGAGGCTCTGCCACTGAGCCACAGCCCCTCTTTACAGCTCTCCAGGGTCTCAGGCGGAGGTCTTTCCCATCACCTCCTGCCTGGTCCTTTGAACTGGAGATGCCGGGGATTGAACCTGGGACCTCCTGCGTGCCAAGCAGAGGCTCTGCCACTGAGCCACAGCCCCTCTTTACAGCTCTCCAGGGTCTCAGGCGGAGGTCTTTCCCATCACCTCCTGCCTGGTCCTTTGAACTGGAGATGCCGGGGATTGAACCTGGGACCTCCTGCGTGCCAAGCAGAGGCTCTGCCACTGAGCCACAGCCCCTCTTTACAGCTCTCCAGGGTCTCAGGCGGAGGTCTTTCCCATCACCTCCTGCCTGGTCCTTTGAACTGGAGATGCCGGGGATTGAACCTGGGACCTCCTGCGTGCCAAGCAGAGGCTCTGCCACTGAGCCACAGCCCCTCTTTACAGCTCTCCAGGGTCTCAGGCGGAGGTCTTTCCCATCACCTCCTGCCTGGTCCTTTGAACTGGAGATGCCGGGGATTGAACCTGGGACCTCCTGCGTGCCAAGCAGAGGCTCTGCCACTGAGCCACAGCCCCTCTTTACAGCTCTCCAGGGTCTCAGGCGGAGGTCTTTCCCATCACCTCCTGCCTGGTCCTTTGAACTGGAGATGCCGGGGATTGAACCTGGGACCTCCTGCGTGCCAAGCAGAGGCTCTGCCACTGAGCCACAGCCCCTCTTTACAGCTCTCCAGGGTCTCAGGCGGAGGTCTTTCCCATCACCTCCTGCCTGGTCCTTTGAACTGGAGATGCCGGGGATTGAACCTGGGACCTCCTGCGTGCCAAGCAGAGGCTCTGCCACTGAGCCACAGCCCCTCTTTACAGCTCTCCAGGGTCTCAGGCGGAGGTCTTTCCCATCACCTACTACCTGGTCCTTTAAAGCACAGATGCTGAGAACTAAACCTGGGACCTTCTGCATGCAAAGCAGGGTTTCTTCCACGAAGCCACAGCCCCTTCAAAAGAAAACTCTGAGGGTATTTTGCCATTTTAGAAAAACAGTATTATAAAACAGAGAACTGCAAGCCAGCTGTTAAAACCATTAGCAATCCACAGTTGACAGTTAAGACAGCCACTCCAGCCCTCTCAGGAATGCTCCATCTCTGACTATATAAAACAAATTTGGCATCTAAGGGGAGGCAATAGGTTGCCAACATCCAGGTGGGGGCTGGAGATCTCCCAGTATCACAGCTGATCTTTGGACTGCATAGATTGCTTATTTATTATTTATTGGAAACATTTAGTCCTCCTGGAGGAGGAGGAGGAGGAGGAGGAGATTGGATTTATACCCCATGGCCCTTCACTACCCGAAGGAGTCTCAGAGCGGCTTACAAACTCCCTTCCCTTCCCCTCCCCACAACAGACACCCAGTGAGGTAGGTGAGGCTGAGAGAGCTCTTTTGAGGACTGCCCTTGAGAGAACAGCTCTGAAAGAACTTATGACTGACCCAAGGTCACACCAGCAGCTGCATGTAGTGGGGAATCGAATTGAAGGACTTTCCCCTCCCTAAGCCCCACACTCCCAGGTTCTGCCCTGAAATCTCCAGGTATTTCAGGAGCTGGTGATCCTAGGAGGCAAAGTAGCGCTGAAGAAGGGAGGTGTACATTTTCGGATGTTTCTCTCAAGGCCCTCCTCCGCAAGGGAGAAGTCAGTGATCCTCAGTTCCCTCTCCATAAAATGGGCATGATAGCAGTCCACTTCAGGCTCCTCCCCTTGATCTGGCAGGAGAACCAATGGCTGTGTCTGTGGGCGGAGCCATGCTGAGGCCCGGAGGCTACAACACTACCCTTCCGGCTGCAGTCTGAAGTTGTCTGATGCAAAATGCTGTGTCACTGTCTCCAGACAGCCCTTGGCTCCCCCTGACGGCTCAAAACACCACCAGGCCGGGCCCGAGTCTTCGCCAAGCTCACCCGCCGACCAGACTGTCCCTGGCTCAAGTCCCAGCTGAGCCCGACAGGAACCCTGAAAGCGGGAAACGGGCCTCAAAGCTGGCCAAGGGGGAAGAGGAAACCTGCTGACCCCATGAAGCCCAGCCGGTCCCAGCCAGGGCCCTATTATGACATAAGCCATGATGGAAGACCACCACCTCCCCTCCTGGGAGAAACATCCAGGGGAGAGGGAGGCAGAAGGACCCCCGCACCCCGGGAGCCAAGGAGGTCGGCCCTCCCAGGTTGCCAATTTTCCATCTTTGGCAGACGGGCCTGATCCTGGGGAAAGACGCCTCTATGGGAGCAGATCTCAGCCGTGGGAACGCCGAAAACTTATGCGATGCCTCCGCAGGACAGTCTGTCCCCAGGCTTAGGACGGCACCGGCCCGAAGCCGTCCGAAGGGCCCGGCCGTGGGGATCGACCTCGGCACCACCTATTCCTGTGTGGCCATCTGCCACAAGGGCAAAGTGGACATCATCGCCAGCAGCTACGGCAATCGAACCACCCCCAGCTGCGTGGCTTTCACGGACAGGGACCGCCTCGTGGGAGAAGCGGCAGAGGCGCAGAGGGGCCTCAACCCAGAGAACACGGTCTTTGGCGCCAAGCGGCTGATTGGGCGTAAGTACGACGACCCTGCGGTGCAGAGCAGTATGAACCACTGGCCCTTCCAAGTGGTCAGAGCTGGGGAGAAGGTCCAAGTGCAGGTGTCGTACAGAGGGGTGGAGAAGGCCCTTTATCCCGAGGAGATCTCGGCCATGGTGCTGACCAGGCTGAAGCAGGTGGCCGAGGCCTACTTGGGCCGCCCAGTCTCTCAGGCGGTCATCACCGTCCCGGCCTACTTCAACGACGCCCAGCGCCAGGCCACCATCGACGCCGCGGCAATTGCGGGGCTCAAGGTGCTGCGTCTGATCAACGAGCCCAGCGCGGCCGCCATCGCCTACGGCCTGAACGCCGGCACCCACTGGAAAGCCAAGAGAAACATCCTCGTCTTCGATCTCGGCGGGGGGGCGTTTGACGTGTCCGTCCTCTCCGTCCACGATGGCGTCTTCGAAGTGATGGCCACCACGGGAGATACCCAGCTGGGGGGAGAGGATTTCGACCGACGGCTGCTGGACCACCTCGTGCTGGAGTTCAAGAAGAAGCACAAAGAGGACATCGGCCAGAGCGACAAGGCCCTGCAGAGGCTGAAGGTGGCGTGTGAAACGGCCAAGCGCGCCTTGACGTCCAACGTGAGGGCCACCGTCTCGGTCGACTCCCTCTACAAGGGAGTGGATTTCTCCGTCACGATCACCCGGGCCTGCTTCGAAGACCTGTGCGCCGACCTCTTCCAGGCCACTGTGGAGCACGTGAAGAGGGCGCTGGAGGATGCCCGGATCAAGAAGACCCAGGTCCACGACATCGTCCTCGTGGGAGGCTCCACTCGCATCCCCATGATCCAGAACCTTCTGTCGAAATTCTTTGACGGGGCGGAGCTCTGCAAGAGCATCAACCCCGAGGAAGCGGTGGCGCACGGCGCAGCCATCCAAGCAGCCATCTTGACCGGCCACAGGTACCAGAACCTGGAGAATCTTCTTCTCTTGGACGTGACCCCAATTTCTCTAGGACTGGAGACCGTCGGGGGTGTGATGGACGTCGTGGTCAAGCGCAACTCCCCCATCCCCACCAAGGAGACCAGAAACTTCTCCACCACCGAGGACAACCAAACCAGCCTTTTCTTGCAAGTCTACGAAGGGGAGCGAACGCTGACCAAGCACAACCATCTCCTGGGAACGGTCACCCTGAGCGGCCTCCAGTCCGCTCCCCGTTGCATGCCGGTCATCGTGGTCACCTTTGCCATCGACCACAACAATATCCTCACCGTCTCCGCTATGGAGAGGAGCACCGGCAACAGCAATCAGCTGGTCATCGCAGACACCCGCGGGCGGCTGGACAGAGAAGAGATGGAGCGCATCCTGCAAGAGGAGGAAGAATACAGGGAGCAGGAGAAGGCGGAGCAGGAGAAGATGGAAGCCCTGAATTCGCTGGAGTCCTCCACTTTCCAGCTCAAGAGGGCTGCCGAGCAAGGGAAGTCGCTAGACGATCGAGCCAAGAGGAGGGTGCTGGAGATGTGCGAGGAGACCGCCCAGTGGCTGGAGGAAAACCGGCTGGCCCCCAAGAAGGAGTACGAGGAGAGGAAGAGGGAGCTGGAAGACGTGTGCTACTCCATCATCACGCACTTTAGCCAGGAGGACGAAACAGAGTGGAAATGCCAAAGCAGGTAGTGGAGCTCATTAAAGGAAAAGAATAGTGTGGATGGGGAACATGTCTGGCTACTTCAGGGGAGGGGGACTCGGGGATGTGGACACACCAAAGAGCGCGTTCCCAGCCACCCGCTGGCTTCCGTGGCACTGGTGGATCTTAAGAACGTAAGAACATGAGAGGAGCCAGTGTTGGATCAGGCCAATGGCCCATCCAGTCCAACGCTCTGTGTCACACAGTGGCCAAAAATACCAGGTGCCAGGAGGTCCAGCAGTGGGGCCAGGACACCAGAAGCCCCTCCCACTGTTGCCCCCCCCCCAAGCACCAAGAATACAGAGCATCACTCGCCCCAGCCTGAGAGTTCCTATCTATAGCTTGTGACTCATAGCCACTGATGGACCTCTGCTCCATATGTTTATCCAGTTCCCTCTTGAAGTTGTCCATGCTTGTAGCTGCCACCACCTCCTGTGGCAGTGAATTCCATGCGTTAATCACTCTTTGGGTGAAGAAGGACTTCCTTTTATCCGTTCTAAGCCGACCGCTCAGCAATTTCATGGAGTGCCCACGAGTTCTTGTCTTGCGAGAAAGGGAGAAAAGTACTTCTTTCTCTACCTGCTCTATCCCACGCATAATCTTGTAAACCTCTTATCAGGTCACCCCTCAGCCGTCCTTTCTCCGAGCTAAAGAGCCCTAAGCGCTTCAACCTTTCCTCATAGGGAAAGTGTTCCAACCCTTTGATCATTCTAGTTGCCCTTTCCTGCACTTTTTCCAATGCTATAATATTCTTCTCGAGGTGTGGTGACCAGAACTGTACACAGTATTCCAAATGAGGACGTATCATCGATTTATACAGGGGCATTATGATACTACTGGCTGAGGTGGGAGTTGCCGCCAAACTTTTTCCTAAAAGAAAACTGGAAGCCACGTGTGGTGATTCAGGTAAAACGATTCTGAGAAAAGGCAAAGGTCTTTCAGGGGTGAGGTTTCTCACATGCCTTGCATTCTTTCTCTCTTTTTAAAGTTGAAAATGGAGGTCACTTCATCGCATGGAGCCGCGCCACAAAATGGGCTGATTGTCCAGTTCAATGATCAGGCCTTCCTCTGCCAGGGACTTGGCATTTCCCCGGGTCTTGTGCAGCCAGAGGGGAGAGCGCATGGTTTTCTTTCCTTCCATTTAGCCTTCCACTCCTTTGTGCCGGTATGCTTGTTAACAGTCTTGAGGGCTAGAAACTCTGATGTCAGAATCTCTGATTTGCAAGAGCAGGTTAATCGCCAAGCACTTGGAGGGGAGGAAGTGCCTGCTAATAGTTCTCGTGTCGGGGCGTAGCAGAGGGTCAGAAGATGGTGCCGAAACGGACAAGGTGGCAGGGCAGTCTGATATTTGGGTAGATCACAGGCCCGGTGTGGCCCAGCACACACGCACTCACATACAAACACAGAGTAATTGTGCACCAGACTGGTTTTGAAAGCCGTACCTGAGCTTGCGGCCTACACACCCACTGACACACACACACACACACACACACCACCCCTTGGCACGCTCTCTGCGGGGCGCAAGGGATTTATTTGTCAGTTTGTGCCCGGCCTTTTTCTGCAATGGGACCCGGAGTGGCTTGCAAGAATATTTCTCCCCTCTTCCATTATATCTGCACAACAACACCCCTGTGGGGTAGGTCAGGCTGAGAGTGTGTGATTGGCCCACAGTCACCTGGCCAGCTTTTGTGGCAGAGTGGGGGTTCAAACCCGAGTCTCCAAAATCCCAGTCCAGCCCCCCAGCCACTACACCACATTGGGAAGCTGGGGAGACAGATGGCGCTGCGTGTCTGGGGGGGGGCGTGAGCCATGGCCTGGGTGGGGCTGTGCTCCTCTTCGCCTCTGCAGCTTCCTGTTGTCCTGGCAGGAGGAAAAGCCCAGAGCAGCTCCCAGCTACAGGATCCTGGCTGTTGTTCTGGAATGAGACTGTGGGTGGTCTGTAAAGCCACTTTGGTGGTGCCTTCCAGCAGGGCCGGCCCTTCCTAATGCGAACACGCACAATTCCTAATCGCTTCTGGTTCAGTAGGCTGTCGGCACTTTATCCCGGGAACCCCAAGCCAGTTGGGTGTAGTGGTTAAGTGTGCGGACTCTAATCTGGGAGAACCGGGTTTGATTCCCCACTCCTCCACTTGCACCTGCTGATGTGACCTTGGGTCAGTCACAAGCTCTGGCACAGCTGTACTTGAAAAAGAGCAGTTTGTGTCAGAGTTCTCTCAGCCCCACCCACCTCACAGGGTGGCTGTTGTGGGGAGGGGAAGGGAGAGGAGTTCGTAAGCCACTCTGAGACTCCCTTGGGTAGTGAAGGGTGGGGTATAAATCCAATTTCTTCTTCTTCTTCTTCTTCTACTTCCACCAGGGGGACTTGGGCAACTGCCGAGGGTGCCAGTTACGGAGGGGTGCTGGAGCCCTGTTGGTGATAGGGTTGCCAGGTCCAAACTAGCCACAGGTGGGGGAGGGGGGGCGTAGGGTTGTCACATCCAGGTTGGGAAACTCCTGGAGATTTGGGGATGGAGCCTGGGGAGGACAGGGACCTCAGGGGGACACAATGCCATACAGTCCCCCCCTCCAAAGGCAGCCCTTTTCTCCAGGGGAACTGATCTCTGTCGTCTGGAGATGAGCTGGAATTCACTGCACATCCCCAGGTCCCACCTGGAGGCTGGTATCCCTAGTGGGTGCCCTGGCTGCCCACCTCTGGCATTGAGTTCTGCCCCAGGAAGCGCCACAGCCCTGGTGGACTGGCCATGGGGGAGGCCCCTCTCTCCCTCCCTCTGTTGGGGGCAGAGGTGGGGGGGTGCCAGCTCTGGGTCGGGGAGTTCCTGGAGGATTTGGGGGTGGAGCCTGAGGAGGATGGGGTTTGGGGAGGGGAGGGACTTTGGCGGGGTGCAACGCCACAGAGTCCACCTTCCAAAGCAGCCATTTCCTCCAGGGGAACTGATCTCTGTCACCTGGAGATCAGTTGCAGTCCCAGGAGATCTCCAGCCACCACCTGGAGTTTGGCAACTCTATCCATAGGCAACCTCTTCCTTCTTCCCTGTGGCATGGGGTGAAGAAGGTGGGCAGCTACCTCCCACCTTGCCATGGTGCTGAGCGGGCACGGTGAGTGGGCTGCGAGAGCCAGTTTGGTGCCGTGGCTAAGAACGGCTGGACTCTAATCTGGGAGAACTGGGTGTGATTCCCCCACTCCTCCACTTGCAGCTGCTGGATGACCTCGGGCAAGCCATAGTTTTGATAAGAGCTGTCCTTGAAAAATGGCAGTTTCTGTCAAGAGCTCTCTCAGCCCCACCTACCTCACAGGGCGTCTGTCGTGGGGAGGGGAAGGGAAAGGAGTTTGTAAGCTGCTCTGAGACTCCTTTGGGTAGTGAAGGGCAGGGTAAAAATCTTAACCATGACACCAAACTGGCTCTCCAATCTCCTCCTCCTCCACCACCACCTCCTCCTTCTTCTTCTGTGGCTTCCCTGGGGTTTAGGAAAGGTGGAGTTGCCAACTCTGGGTTGGGAAACACCCTGATATTTTGGGGTTGGGGCCTGGGGAGGGGAGGGTGTGGGGAGGGACAGGGACCTCAGCGGGGCACAGTGCCACAGAGTCCACTCTCCAAAGCAGCTCTTTTCTCCAGGGGAGCTGGCCTCCCTTGCCTGGAGACCTATTCCCATTCTGGGAGATCTCCAGGGCCCACCTAGAGGTGGGCACCCAGGTGCCATATTCCTTGGGCTCGCCCTGTCCTCTACAGCACGTGTGGGGAGGCACCCCAGCAGGCCTGCGTCTCGCTCTCCGGCCCTCCTCAGCCAAGCGAACCTGGAGGACGAAGGATAAGCCAGAGAGCAGAGAGGAGGAAGCCCGTCTGCTTGCCAAGGTGGGAGAGGGCAGGTGGGCTGCCCCCCCCTTGTGTGACCACTCTCGAGGTGGGGCCTGGAGACCTCCCAGAATTACAACTCATCTCCAGGCAGCACAGGTCTGCCTCCCTGGAGAAAATGGAAGCTTTGGAGGGCAGCCTGTATGGCCCGATAGAGACCCCAGTGAGGCCCCCTCTCCTCCACAAACCTTGCCATTCCCCGCCCCCCCCCCGACCTGTAGTGTATCCAGCCCTGACAGGGCCGGGCATGTCCGGACTTGTCCAGGGACAAAACCTCAAGCTTCACACCTAAAGACAATGGGTCAGTAGGATCCTAGACTGGCCCAATCAGAGGGCTAGGTCATAAGACCATAAGAACATAATAGAGAAGCCAATGCTGGATCGGGCCAGTGGCCCATCCAGTCCAACACTCTGTGTCACACAGTGGCCAGAAATACCAGGTGCCACCAGGAGGTCCAGCAGTGGGGCCAGGACATTAGAAGCCCTCCCACTGTTGACCCCCCCAAGCACCAAGAAGACAAAGCATCACTTGCCCCAGAGTCCCTATCTATACCTTGTGGCTAAGAGCCACTGATGGACCTCTGCTCCAGATGCTTATCTAATTCAATAGGCCTCTTGGTTACTGTAAATAGCCTATCGGGAAGTGGGGGGGTGTTATGGTGGTGGGTTCTGAGGGAATATAAGTCGGCCTGCGAGCTGGCCAAGGTGTCTTGTTCCTTACTGAATAAAGTATGCTTAGCTGAATCACTCTCCGTCTGCATACTTTTCACGACCACTGGTGTGTACTGGGTTCGATGCATGGAGGACTCGGACCACGACGTGCGTTCAGACGCTTTTATTGGTACTTCACAACAAGCGTGCAAAACGGCCCTGCAAGGCCAACTTATATACACACACCCGGCACACCCACAGCCCCTATTGGAGGGTTTGAATCTCCCGCCAAAGACACCATTGGTAGATACTGGGTGAACTAGGATCCTACTGTTCTATTGTTCTAAAGAATGAAGAAGAAGAAGAAGAGATTGGATTTATACCCCGCCCTTCACTACCCAAAGGTGTCTCAGAGCGGCTTACAAACTCCTTTCCCTTCCCCTCCCCACAAGAGACACCCTGTGAGGTAGGTGGGGCTGAGAGAGCTCTGACAGAAACTGCTCTTTTCCAAGAACAGCTCTTATCAGAACTACGGCTTGCCCAAGGTTATCCAGCCAGGTGCGAGTGGAGGAGGAGTGGGAAATCAAACCCGGTTCTCCCAGATAACAGACACCCTGTGAGGTCGGTGGGGCTGAGAGAGCTCTGACAGAAATGGCTCTTTTTCAAGGACAGCTCTTGTCAGAACTACGGCTTGCCCAAGGTAACACCAGCAGGTGCGAGTGGAGGAGTGGGGAATCGAACCCGGTTCTCCCAGATTAGAGTCCGCGCACTTAACCACGACACCAAACTGGCTCTCAAGCTCCGACCTGTGACCGCAAACCCTGGTGGCGGCCTGCATGCATAACACCAGTCTATGTTGGGAATCTCCTGGCAATTTGGGGATGGAGCCTACGGAGGACAGGGACCTCAGTGGGACGCGATGCCACGGAGCCCGCCTTCCAAAGCATCCGTTCTCTCCAGGGGACCTGAGCTCTGTCGTCTGGAGGTGAGCTGCGATTCCGGGGGGTCCCCAGGCCCCACCTGGAGGCTACTCCACCCCCAAATCTCCAGAAACTTCCCAGCCTGGAGCCGGCAGCCCTAATGGGAGGGGACAGGTTGGCTGACCCCCCCCCCCTCTGGGCAGCAGAAGAAGCCGGAAGGAAAGAGGGCCTTGGCACCTCCGCCCTGGTTTCCTATCAGCGGCCAATTATTATGCGAGCCACCTCTCCCCCTGGTAATAGAGTTTAATCACAGTGAAGTCATTTGATTTCCCTGTACTGTGATTGGGCTTTAATTAATGGCCACTTACGGGAAAGGAAAGGGGGGGTTGCCTGTAGGAGCGGAGGGGGGAGGGTTCTCTTGCGTTTCTCTCTCTCCCACCCCTTCCCTGAAGATGACAAATGTGGGAAGAGGCCTCCGGCGAGGCCTCTGACGGAGGCTTGCTGGTACGGAAACACGCCTGGTTCCGATTTCTCCACCGGACCGGCAGTATTCTGGCTGAATATCAGAAGAGCCCAACTGGAGATTCGCCGAAGAGGGTGCAGCTGCTGGGTCTGTGAGATGTCCGGGGACGGCAGGCAAAACTTGGTGGGCACAGATGGGGGGGGGACGTGGCCCTGGGTGCAGAATTGCAGTCTTTTTAAAGGGAAGTTGCACCTCGTTTCTAGACCTGATGGGTCTATAGAGGAACCCCCGGAGAGGTTCCAGAGGCTGAACACTGTCCGATAGCAATCAGCCAGGCGGCACTGGTGTTCCGTGGTGTTCCTAGAATTGCCAGTTGAGAAATACCTGGAGATTTGTGGGGCGGAGTCTGCAGAGGGCGTGGCTTGCGGAGGGGACAGACTTCAATTGGGTGTCATCATGTCAGACCAGGGAGGGTCCATCCAGTCCAGCCTCCTGTCTCACACAGGGGCCACAGTGCGCTCAATATTTCTTTGACGAAAACCGTAAAGTTACAAATATGAAATGTACAAAAGTGATAGTAATACATTCAAATGTGTAAGTTCAGATGCATAAAGATAGAAGATGACAACGACGGGACGGTGGTCTCCGGAATGCGATGCCGTTTCGACGGCAATATAAGTGTGAACTCAATATAAGTTAGGAACCACCAACACCTGGTTAACACATAAGCTTTATTCTGTTTGAGAGATGTTCTTCTCCATTACTTATGCAATGAAATAGGTGGTAAGTAGGTTTGAACATTTTCTTTCTCACATAGGCTTTGGTTCTATACAATTATACTTAGTTATCCAGTCTGGTTTCATTGCTTTGCTATATTTTTTAGAAACTATTGAACTCCATGTGAATTGGGCAGCTTTTCCATTGAAGTGCAATTTTTCATACATCATCAAGTAAGGATATTTTGATGTACAATTACCATGATGCAAGTATTGATGTTGACATATATATATTATATTATTTATAAGCTTATAGACTCTTGGTTAGAAGAAGACGTTTGTCAAAACGGCATCGCATTCCGGAGACCACCGTCCCGTCGTTGTCATCTTCTATCATACAGGAGCCAGCCAGTTCCTCTGGAGGGCCAACAACAGGGCAGAGAGGCCGAGGCCTTCCCCTGAGAAGAACACCAGAAGAGCCCTGCTGGGTCAGACCAAGGAGGGTCCCTCTAGTCCAGCCTCCTGCCTCACACAGGGGCCAACCATTTCCTCTGGAGGGCCAACAGCAGGGCAGAGGGGCCGAGGCCTTCCCCTGAGAAGGACACCAGAAGAGTCCTGCTGGGCCAGACCAGGGAGGGTCCCTCTAGTCCAGCCTCCCGTCTCACACAGGGGCCAGCCAATCCCTCTGTAGGGCCAGAAACAGGGCAGAGAGGCCGAGGCCTTCCCCTGAGAAGAACACCAGAAGAGCCCTGCTGGGTCAGACCAAGGAGGGTCCCTCTAGTCCAGCCTCCTGCCTCACACAGTGGCCAACCAGTTCCTCTGGAGGGCCAGCAACAGGGCAGAGAGGCCGAGGCCTTCCCCTGATAAAGACATCAAAAGAGCCCTGCTGGGTCAGACCAGTGAGGGTCCATCTAGTCCAGCCCCCTGTCTCACATAGGGGCCAGCCAGTTCCTCTGGAGGGCCAGCAACAGGGCAGGGAGGCTGAGGCCTTCCCCCGAGAAGACCACCAGAAGAGCCCTGCTGGGTCAGACCACTGAGGGTCTACTCAGTCCAGCCTCCCGTCTCATACAAGGGCCAGCCAGTTCCTCTGGAGGGCCAACAGCAGGGCAGAGAGGCCGAGGCCTTCCCCTGAGAAGAACACCAGAAGAGCCCTGCTGGGTCAGACCAAGGAGGGTCCCTCTAGTCCAGCCTCCTGCCTCACACAGGGGCCAACCATTTCCTCTGGAGGGCCAACAGCAGGGCAG